CGTAAACTTGGTAGATATCCTTTTGAAAATCACCGCGTATCATTTTGCACGGTACTCAAGTTAAAAAATTTACGGTCGAGACGGTCGGTAGACGACCCAATTAACCAAGGTAACTACACGGATTACGACGGTTTTTATGCGCCGTCCCGTAATGACAGGTTCCAAAAGCACGGAAGAAGCCGTTAAAGAGCATCTTCTTTAACGCGTCGCATTTTCCTTCTGCACATCACTATTCACCCTTCCACTACACGAACTTTAAACGAGTGTTTTCATTAATGCAGAGGTTCCAGTTGAACAGGCAGGGTTCCTCGTTTTCCTCGCAACTCAATTCGCCCCGGTGAACCTCGTCATTTGGCTTCTCGATTCGATTCAACCACGTCTTGATACTTTCTGCGGATGACCTGTAATCCTTCCACTCGACAGGCACGTAATCTTTTGCAATGGAATAGAGTCTTCGAAAAAGAAAGAGGAGTCTTTCTGCAGCGTGCATTTGATCCGATCCGGAGCGCTGAAACGTCTGTTGGATATAGAGCTAGGTTTTCCAGATTCTAAGAGCATTTTCTTCCCAGGAAAACTCAACGTCGTTCTAACGTCGTTCTAATTTAGCCGGAACCCATCTGTAGAGTTGGAGACGATATTCAATCTCATCGTCGAAGATTATTTATCGCAATCGATGAAAAATCTCCGATTGTGACCGGTGGCCTTTTTAGTCTTCTAAGGATTTGCAGGACACGTAATTCATCCGGTGTGCAGGGACACGTATCCGTTCGTGATCGGATAGCGTGCGAGTTCCATCGAATAGCAGACTTTTCGAGAATTTCGCAAAGCACACCGGGGGCGGCGATATCAATCAGATTCATCGCGTGATGAGACAACCGTGCGACCAGGAGAATTCCGGCTGGCGTTATCGAGCCGATCCATCGGCACACGCTGCAGAATTCATATCGCGAAGTGGCCCCTCATACAGACCGATTGTTCAAGACCTCTCTCCGTCCCTGTATCCTTTTTCAACGCGCTTCGATTCGGTTCGTTCTTTCCCCTCGCAGTTTCCATTACGGATAATACCGGTGCGCGCGCGCTGAGTAGCGTACGAGATGTTCCTCTCGCGTTTCCACCATTTTCCACGACAAAGGAGACGAACTAGATACGCGTATGTGTACATATAGAGTTAGCAACTACATCAATTATAATATCCGTGAAACTTTATAGAATAATGTATCGCACCAACTTCTCCTACTCTCTCTCTCTCTCTTCGAGCATTCGTCTCAAATGCTTCCTCCAGTCTCACTCTCTTTAGACGACACTCAGCTCGTTGTTTATGTTTCCAGAGGTAAGAGGGCAAAGCTGTGCCAGCCGCGAATATTGAAAGTTGCCGCATAGCAGCAACCACCCTCTCGAAACTTCGGATGACGCGTATACCTGCGGCAATTTCGTTTCGTTCGATGTATCGGTCTTCTTCTTACGTTTCTCACCAATCTTTCCTTCATCCTGCAAATTGCATTTCCTTCCAGTTTCTCCTGCGTTCACCCTTCGTTCGAACCTTCCTCCTTTCCGCTTGGCACCAGCTTTGATGAATCGAATTCACCCAGGAGGAGAACCTACACGAGCGCTACGGGGTGTTAGAACGAATAATGACTACACTCGGAGTGCCAACCTCTTCCCTATGACGGTCGTTTGCAATAAAGCATCGTCTTTGCTCTTTGTCACGAATCTCCGATATCTGACCGATAAAATCCAACGACGTCGGAAGGAACGTAAAACGCGGCAGTCTCTTGGCATCGAAACTACCAGAGATTTCGTTGGTGCATCCAAAACTGCGTGCGCAGCCATAGTTCGCTACGCTAGTTCAAGTCGTATCGTTTTACCTCCCATTTTACTAAACTTACGAAATATTCATTTCGCGGAGAATAACAGGTGAAAAATTGACGGCAGTAGTTTAGACATTCGTAGTTTACCGAATTCGCGACCGGTGAATAATTTCCAGTCGCCGCGTATAATCATGCAAAAAGAGAAAAACGTCTCTGTACGAGTCGGTAGCCAGGTTTTTATCGTCGCAAGTCGAATAACGTTACGCGCAAGTTTATACCTAATCGAGCAAGAAGCTTTCGCGATTTAATTCCCCGTAAAAATTGAAATGCTTCAGTAGGTATGCATAAACATGAAATGTAAATGCACGATATTCGTTCCTTTTTTTGAATTTCAGCAACGCTGCAAAATATTCGCGCTGGATCGAGTCTCGAGAGCGTTACATGCAACCCCCAATATCTCCTATGTACTTATGTACGTCCATACATAAGTAGATATGTACGTTCATTATTGTCTCGTTAGATCGAAATATATTCCGTTGTTCAAGAACACTCAACTGCCACTGAAGACAGTTACGCAAGCGGAAACTTCCGTACTCGCTTCGTTTGTTCCTTAATTGGGCGTTTTACTAAGGGGACAGTGCACGTCGTAGGATTGATTTTTTGCGCCAGCTTAAACGAGCCCCGACAACCTACCATGTTTACCTCTTCTCGCACAGGATGCAGGAAAAATTTCGTAAAAAGCGCGTCTTTAATGAAAATTAATCCGTCGAGGTAGAAATTACAGCGCGTAACCTAACCTTGCAAGTATTGCAAGCAACTCGTTTACCCTGTAGCATACGCGTTTCAAGGTACGCGTTACGAACACCTGGTTACACGTTCCACGCACAAAGTATTCATGCCGGTAACGCAAACGTGCGAATGCGTTACACGCAAGTGTGATAACGAAATCACTCGAAAGATTACGTCTTTCGCGAGAATCTACATACATATAGAGAACTACGGATGAATGACAGATTGGTGAAGATTTTCTCGTTACGCGTGTAAGATTGGCGGGAACTTGAAACGCGTGCTGTACACACGTGCTAGAGAACTCGTTACGTATGCACATGTACGTGGCTCTACGCATTCTGTAAATTTGAACGTGCCGCTAGAGCTGCGCCACTCGAGTATATGCATGCATGCGTTTATATCGCACGGCAAATGCATTCAACGCGGCTTTCTGTTGCCGTGCAGCGCCGCGTCGTACCGTGCCGATCCTAGATTTATTTCGGTAAGATCAAATAGACGAACGAACAATAGATATCCTCTGCACTCTAGCCCCTTTAATAATTCGTTTCCTCCAAGTGTATCCTTGAGAAAATATCTGTAGCTACTTGTTGTAACGAGAAAACGTTGGTTGTTCCGCAGAGTACCCTCGGAATAGTAAAACCCCTAACCAATTAATATTTAATATTTCTAATCCGTAATTTTAAGACGTCCTGCGGGCCGTAGCGGCTAGCAATCTGCAGAAAAGGAAACCCTCAGTTCCCCCGAAACCCCAAGTTCAAGAGCTGTTTTTGGGGTTCTTAATACTTTGGCGACGCGCTCAACAGCCAATTGTCCGTGTCATAAAACGTGAATTTCTAGCTGGTTCATAGCTGACCCCGTCGCAGGTACCAGGCCCAGCGGAAATTCCGCGAAGTTGCCAAGGTTTCTCATTTTCATTTCCACCTCCACACACCACCCCCTATTGCTCCTGTCAATCGCCAATCAAAAAATGGACAACTCTTAGAGCTCCCTGACTCTCTTGGAAGTCTCGACGAGCAGTGTACCATCTTAGACCAGTCTACCATCACCCAGCAACAACCATTAAAATCCCTTTCACCTCGCGTTTAGAACTAACATCGTAATTTTAAATCATCATATTTGTTAAATAGGAGTACATTAGAAGTGAGGACATCGAAATTCTTAAATAATCATCCCTATTTCTTAACGAAGTCATAGGGAGCCATTAACACGCGACGCGATAATAATCGAATAATCGATTTTTCGGTTATTCACCGAAATGTTACGAAACGCGAAACACAATACCGCAGTTCTACCCGAATTAAACCTTTTATTCGCGGGGAAACAAAGAAAAGTTTATAGAACTGGGAACAAGGTTGCAAAATGTATTTCTATTCATATAAAAATGTAAAACCCGCGTTGTTACTATCGAGTCGCGCGAACGAATCTGGTCGAATAGAAGATACACTGGGAATGAAAAAGAAAGGAAGGAACTTTGTTACGAATAATTCGACGGAGAATTTGAAAAATGAATCAGCTCTATCCATCCTCTCTCTCTCTTCTACTTTCCATTTAACATTCAGATTGCTTTCGACCGTTCCAACGAGTAACAATGCACCTGTTGAAAAAACATTTGTTAACCGAGCGTCGCGGCGATGATTCGAAATTGCCTGTTCGACCGTGGTAGTTGACAGGGAGGAGAAATAATTTTCCGCAGCGCCGGAGGAAAATGTTTGAAGAGCATCGCGGTACGTTCACGCGGTCCTTCTCTACGGTAATTTGCGTGTTCGCCGATTAACGATAAAAATGAAGATAAAAGGTTCGCAACCGCGATATAGAGTAGAGACGTCGAACAACGCAACGAACTGAAAGAATATTAAAGCAAATCGGCATGTCGATCTATCACGGTAATTGAACTGCCCGAAAATAAAGCGGGGAAAATGTAGGAAACGTAAAGCGTGAAATTTTCTTTGCTCTTCTTGTCGCATCCACAGAGCGTGGCAATGATACATATGGCGTGGTATCGACGCGTGCATTGAGTCGTAGGGAACGCGAAATTCAATAGCGATTTTCGTCACGCGAGGAACCACGCGCGATAAAACGTTTCCCGTTAATTCGAGCGTGAGGTTATTAACTACGGTTGTTTCGCGTTTCAATTCCCCTCCGATACGATCCGATGTTCACTTGAACGCGTTTCGCGCGAGCGAAAATGCAAATTTCATTAAACCAGCCCCGCTAATGTCCGAATATTATTGCACCGTGGCCTCGACCAGCTCTCGATTCATAAATAACGTAGCGACGGACGCGCGACGCCCATAAATTTCTGGTTGCCACAGAGTTGTTGCGCTCCCGATCGATCATATTCCCCCTATCGCGTACAACGCCAACTCTCTTCACCATCCTTCTCACCTCGCTCTTTTTTTCTAGTTTCCCCTGTGGTCACCCTGAAGATGGGCTCGTCGTTGAATCCGAAGAACATCAAGGAAGGCGACGACGTTTACTTCGAGTGCAACGTTCGGGCGAATCCTAGAGCTTACAAATTGACATGGTTTCACGAGGTATGTATGTACGTCCAAACAACTTTTTTACTCTCGCACCGGTGCAAATCCGACAACTACCACCAGAGGCGAAGGTCGCGCGGGTCGAAGAGGGGGGTAGGTACGTTGCTCCTGGTTTGCATAGGGAGTCGAGCGTAAATTCCGACCAACATAACGCGGAGTAAAGCGTGAGTAATGCGCCGCGCGAGCAAACAACCCCGCAAGAAAGCGCCGTTCCTTTTCGTCTTGACTCGCGAAAAATATCCCGAAAAACTCCTGGCTGGCACCTGCAAGGCTCGAGCGTTATCTCTGGTCACTCGAGGATCGTCGAGTTAAGCCTCTTAAGGGGGCTTATGCTTTCCGTCATTTTCTCTGCCGGGTCGGAGCGCTCCCAAGGGCTCGACGAAATCCTCCAAGCATCGTGCACCAACCCAGCCCCTCTGCTCTCTGCTTGGAGCCCGCGACGTCAGTTCCTCGCCGGTGACCTCTCGCGAGCCTGTTCGCGTCGAACATCGAGAACTGCGAGCAACCGAGAAGCTAAATAGGAAAACTGTGTCGGATCAACTAATCGTCCTAATCCTTGCCAAAGTTCTATCTCTGCCCCTTCCCCCCGATTTCCATCCCTTCCTCGTACGTTTCGTAACGGATTCAAACGAAGGTAAAATCGATCGGTCGGTAGAGTTTTCCTAGGAAAACAGATACGAGAGGCTGTCAAAAAGTACATATGTAGCTTCTCTTTCATCCTTTCACGGAACAAGACAGCCGATTATTTGCCGAGTTGCAAAAACCACGACGAGCGCAGCGAGAAAAAGAAGATACGCGGAGACGCGATTTCTCGCAAATTACCTGAAAAGCATTTTTCGAACGATCGATCGAAAATCCTCTTCTCCTCCGGTGCGTAATTTTCGAAACATCCTCGAATAACCTTCCCGTCGGTGAATTCTTAATTAACGCTCGAGCGCTAATAGGGAGAATTACGATCGAATAAGTTGGGATAATCGAAAGTTGGGAGAAAGTTTTGATATAATAGGACGTGGTCTTCCCGAGGGATATGATTGAATGCCGGATGGAAGAAGAAGGAAAGTAGGGGAAAAATTCGGTGAATAAGTAACAGAGTTTAAAAGTCTGCGGAAAGAGTTCTCGCCGGTGGACCAAGTCTCGCGGAAATTCAAGGATAATTTCGAATGTCTCGAAGCGTTTCGCCTTCGTACGCGCATTCGTGTGTACTCTGTTGAAATTATTGCAAATTTACGAGCTGCCGTGGTCGCTCTCCCCCGTCCATCCGACATCTCCCAACCCGCGCACAGTCTGGAAACCAATCCGAAAAAATGCCAGTTTCGAAACCTCGCCTAAAATATTCGCGAAAATTGCTTTTAACCCGGAATCGTGAATTAATTAGCTTACAGTTATCGATCGAGCAGCGAATTCGGGGAAAAGTGAAAAAGGAAGGAGGACGTGACGCTCGCGTGTGCGTGACTCCGAATGACAGATAGATTCAACAGCAGATAGCCCCGGATTGTGACGTGTGGTTGAAACTAAATATCCGTCGGACGCGTTACAGCAGGAGCAAACTTTCCACCGATTTGCCTACGTTACGTTGCGGTGTGACGCTCGTATTATCGTCACGCTACACGTCGCTGCGCGTTACCGTGCTTCTGCAGATCTATCATTTTTTTCCTCGTCCAATTACAGAGACTGCGACGAAAAAAGTTGCAAAGATAGCTCCGTCCGTTCTTTTCATGCTTCTCGGTGCAGGTACGCTCTAGTTTAACAGGTGAACGACTGTGTTTCGTGCGTAAGTATAGTCGGAGGAAGAAATACAGCGAGATCGTAAGTTCGCTCAGGGCTGAGCAAAGTGTGCTTCAATTTTAATTCAGTGGTTAATTTCAGACCTCGCTATATCTCTCTTCCGTCAACTATAAGGGAACGTACATTTCAAACTATATTCACTTTGTTTCAGAGTTTTCATCGTGATTTTTCAAACTTCTCTTATGCTAATCGATGAAAAAAGTACACCGAATGACAAATTACCTTTGCAAAAGGTTAATCTCCTCGCATGAATATTAAAAATCCACGTATTCCCGGGATTTCCACTGAAATCGACCGCACGAGTTCCGTTACAATACGCGAAGCGAACGAATCTGCATATTAAAACGTGACGCATTTTAAAATCCGCTGACTGTTTCGAAAACGTTTATCGAAATTAATGCGTTACGTTGTCCGTTTTCACGTAATATAGCGTATGTTACGTCGCGAAAATGATTTGATTCTCGGCGAAGGAACGGTGGTAAAAGGAATCGGAAGATGAAGAAACGTTGCTTACGTTCTATGCATAATCCGACGGATAAGTTGATACAGCGAGAAAGTTGGTGCATGGCAAAACGCACGTGCCGAGATATTCCACGAGAATAGGAGTTATCGCTCTTGTCTATCCCTTTTGTGGCATCCGTTTGTAATGCAGTAGATGGAACTATGTGTATATTTCTCGCTCGCCACGAATACGTATTATTGTTCTGACATGAATGCGAATATTTAACGTCTAATGCAGTCACGTTGCGCTGCTGCGCGAAACCACCGAGATTTCTGGTGAAATAAACGCGTGACGCGAGTGAAGCGGTACCTTTTTTCAACGGGATCTACCATTATACGGAAGATAATTTCGAGCACGACCGGCACGTACAAGTTTCAGCAAACTCCTCGAAACCGGACGAAGCACACACAACACGCTCGTTACACTTAGAAAAAAAGCAGCGAAACAATCGTCCCGTTTCTCTGCCAACATTCTTCACTCGATTTCGTTCGCTTCTGTGTTACGTACTAATCAAATCTTGGACGACAACAAGGTAGAGCTACTTCGACATTGCGCCGAATACCGTATATTCTCCACAAGTGTCAGACCGCAAGGAAGCTAAACCTGACACTCGTAGAGTCAGGGACTACGTTTTCGAGCCTCGCACCCGCCTTTGTAGTTTGCCGAACGTAGACAAGGACAGTGAATAAAAGATCGAGGCAACTAAGCGATATAAATATCAACTTTCTTAATTTTACGTTTATTTATCCCGAAATGTTTCTTAAAATATTGATGAAATTTTTGTGATGAAAATGATATCAAACACGACATAATTTGAATAACATTTACTTATTAACACGTTTACTGTCACGCCAGATTTACAGATTGCTGTCAGGCGGCTACAAGAAAATACATTTTAAGCATAGGATTATAGTATTATTCTTTATAATTTTTTTTTTCAATTGAAAATAATGTCTAGCTAGCTATGACGTTCGAAATTTTTAGATGACATTTATTTTATTTTAATTATTCTAAACATTTCAGGCACTTCAGTCACTGATGATCCGTCGAATGTAGAGGGAGAGCCACCGTTTGGTTGCCAATT